TGAACCAAATTTGACTGGATCTTGAAAATGGCAGCGCCGAGCGGGCTCCTTTTTATCACGGAGTGCACGCTTGGTCAAAGGCCCCATCATCCTGCCCCAGCGTAAGCTAATGGAATCTAATCTTCAAATTTTCTGTGCTCATAACCATGCAAATTCAATAAAAAGAAAAAAAATTAAGGACTTAATTCAAAATCCAATTAAATTATAAGGACTAGCAAATTAATTTTTTCTAAAATAAATCTTATTTATTATATCACTCATTATACTGAAACTCTAAAATTTATCATTTTTGACAGTTTAATATTTACCAGTTATTTGTTTAATATTTTCAGTATATTTTGATGATTAAAGTTATTTTTTACTCTTTTACTCAAAAAGTAATTTTTACTTTTTTCTCCCAAAAAAGTAATTTTACTTAAAAACCATTAACAATTAGTTGAAAATTTGAGTCATTTTTTTAAAACAAATGTATATAAAAAATGCATTTAAAAATTTTGAATTGTAAATTTGACATATTAATATAACATTCTTAAAATTATATCATTTTGTAATCTCATAACTTAATCGAAAATATATGTGCATATGTGTGTTGCAAGACGTCTAACATCTTCAACAAACGTATATATTAAAAAGATTACATTAGTAATAAGTTAAAATAAATGATAAGATTAGATATTTCAAATTAGAAAAAATTAGAGAAAATAACCAAAATTCTAAAGAGAATAATATTTTCCAAAAAAGATAGTACGAATTGTAATTATTTAGAAGCACCAAATATAAAAATATAAATTTAAAATTACTAAATTGTTCCTAATTAAACTTCCTACATTCTCTCTTAGTTATAAGAGGGCTTTTTGGTGAGTTTCACGTTTCATCAACATCCATATAACCATATCATCAATCATTTAATTATTAATATAGCTATTTATCCATTTTAACAGTAGTTCGATTATTTTAAAAAACATAAAATAACACTTTGTCATTTTATGTGCAAACTAATGATATTAAAAAAAATATAGGTTAATAAAATTTTTAATCCCTGAAATTTAACATCATTTGGATGATAATCCTTGAAATTTGAAACTAATACTTTTGATCCATGAAATTTGACCTCATCTCAGTTTTTGTTCCTAAAATTTGAAATCACAGGTTTTAATCTCTCAAATTTGATTTCATTTGAAGCTAGCTAAAGACTTCTAGTCCCCGGAACATTATTTTTTAAGAACTAAAATCAAAATGGGGTTAAATTTCAAGAACCAAAACTACTAATTGTAAATTTCAGCTACTAAATCCAAAATAAAATTAAATCTCAATGATTAAATCTATATATTAGTTTGCAAATTCTAGGAATTAAAATTAAAATAAGGTTAAATTTTAAGGAAGGTCGTGTTAATCCAAAAAGCATTTACAAAATAACAGCCATCAAGCGAATAAATAAGAGATGGGCAATATGGCAAGGGAATTCAAATCCATTGCGCACTGCAAAACCGGCTACCAACTACAGTAGCACCTGGCAAGACTTAGGGTGTGTTTGGTTGGAGGGGAGGGGAGGGGAAATGAGCCCCTCCCCTCATTTGGTTAAAAATTTTGGAGGGGAGGGGAGCGCCTCCCTCCCCCCATTTTGGCTCCCCTCCAAATTGGAGGTTTTTGGAGGGGAGCCAAAATTTTGGACCATTATGTCTTTATAGTTTTTTTAATATTCCACTTCTACCCATAAAATATATTATTATAATATTTATTTCAAATAAAAAAATATATTATCCTAAGTAAAAAAATAAAAATATATACATTATTATAATTAAAAATATATTATAAAAATTATTTAAAAATAAAAAATTATTTAAATAAAAATTATAATATTATAAAATTAATTGTGTTTTATAAATATATTATTTATTAAATATATTTTAAAGCTGGAAAAAAAGATAGCCTAAAAAAAATAAAATTTCATTTTTCTTAGAGCATATAAATTTGTTAATTTGATTATTTTAAATATATTATTATATTAATTAGAATAAAAAATTACTATACCAATTTTTAATACACATATTAACATGATAAGACTGAATTTTTATTAAATTATATGATTTAAATTAAGATGTAAATTAATTTATATAATATATCAATAAAAAACATAAACTAATATGTAAGGGTAAAATGGTAAATTAATTATTACTATCCCTCCCCTCCCCTCTTTAAACCAAACAAGGGATCATTAAATACCCTCCCCTCCCCTCCTTTTTAATCAAACCAAACAAGGTGAGGATAAAAACCTCCCCTCCCCTTCCCTACCCCTCCCTGCCCCCCCTACCCTCCTCTCAAGCCAATCAGGCCCTTAGAAAGCAATTAGGTGCAAACCCCATATCCCCTGAGCTTGAATTATCTTTAGAAGTGGGCCCCATTTATCCAAGTGGCTCCTAATTTTTCGCGTCCAGATGAGTTATCTCAGGTCCAGGTCATATTGCATCGAGGAAAGCTTGACAAAGAAGCAAACGGGACGGCCTCGAGGTTGGTTGCCGCAACAAATTAGAAAGGACATCTTTGGTGTTGTTATTAAAAAAATTCGAAGTTTCGATCCGTTGGTTTTGGCCGGGAATTCTCCAGAAACTTATAGAAGAAAACCATGAGATTTAAAAAAAAAAAATTTTGGACCTTGATATGAGATTTAAATTAAAACAAGAATTTTAAATAGAATTATGGTATAATGAAATATTATCCCGATCCTTAATATAAAAACTTGTTTAATTTTTATTTTAGTTTTAAATATGAAATTTTAATATATTTTATCTCTTATATTTATTCATTTTTTTCTCATAGTAGTACTAATCAATACACTTGATTAAAAAAGATATTTTAAGAAAGACAGCACTTATTTATTACAAATAACTAACTTAATTAGTGTTTTTAATTTACTCAAATTAGTCAACCAGCTTTTATACTAAGGACCAGAGCTACTAAGACATTTGTGGGTGGTTTTATGTTTTATGATGTAAAATGTTTAGGGAAAAAATAATGATTCATTACTGGATTTATTCCAAAAGTATCCGTCATCAGTTAATTGTAAATTAATTAGATAGAAACGAAATAAAAGGAAAGTTGCTACAAGTGATCATAATTGCAAGAAGAAAATATTTTTGGAATTTTTTTTAATCCTAATCCTAATCATAATTTTTATTTTTTATTTTTAATGTTCCTACTAAATACGATACAAGGATATAAAGATCAAAGACATACCGGGTTAATTGTCGAAATCAAGGTATGCGCCGAATCCCTTCGCTTCAAGATTATCCAGGGCCTATATGACCATTCAAGGTGGTTTGCAGGTGGTCTTGGTACTTCGCATGCGGTTGCCTCACTCACGGGAGCGGCTTTTCTCTCCTATCGTACCATCCCCTTTTCCTCCTCTATACAAAACTCTACTGTTTTGAAACATATTTCTTTTAGTGATATTTATATCTTAAAATAATTTTTAGTGCACCTGACATTTAAAATATTTTCAGTAGTTCTTAGTACTTAGCAAGCTGTATTCTGAACTATTTTTTCAGTAGCACTTAATATCCTAAATTAATTTTCAGTGTATTCAATAGTCTATATTATTTTCTTGTAATAACACTCAATATCCTAAAATTAGTTTAGAACACCATATGTTATTGGGAAAAATACTGTATGTCCAACTTGCTAGATATTAGGTGCTACTGTAAAGATATTTTAAATTATTAAATGCACTAACAATTATTTTAGGCTTCAGATTAGAATACTAGGTGTTACTGGAAAAATAATTCAGAATGCAATTGGCTAAATACTAGCTACTATTGATAAATAAGTGTACTAAAAAATATTTTAGGATACTGGATTGATTTGAAAAATAAAAAAGCTGGAGAGCCTTCAACTTTAACACCCAAACTGACATAGTTTTGGATAGAGGGGAAGAAATAGATGGTAAGAATAGAGGAGAAAAGCTGCTTCCCTCACTTTTAGCTCATGTTGGCCTCTTTTCTTGCAGCATTATGATTCAAGACGTGCATCTACTTTCATTGCCCTGAAAATATTGATGTGCTTTGCCTATAACTGTTATAGTTTAAGTTGATATAAGTTAATATTAAGTTAATATGATGTTATTTATGTTAAGCTTAGGTGAGGAAACTAAATTTTGTATAAATTAAAAAGACTGATGGTCCAGAGATAGTAATTTACATGGATGATTCCAAAACACAGCTCATTACTGTCACTATTTATTTATTAATTTCATTTTACTTTTAAAATTATATTTTTTTAAAAATAATTAATGAACTAAAAAAACTTAAATTAATTATACGTGGATGAATACAAGCTTACCATTGGTAAAAGTGACTTTTATTTCAATTTTAAGATAACAATAATTAATATAAAAGTATTAACTCTTTCAGGCCAATGATAGCAGAGTTAGACTGTTAGACGACTGAATACTTCATAAGATTAGGAAACTAAACTGAACTTTATATAAAAGTTACATAATTAAAAAAATACCTTTACGTACAATTATTTTTAAATCAGCCGACAATAAAAACGGGGTAAAAAAGCAAAATGAAATATACTAGTATCTAAATTATAGTTCCGTAAAACAAGAGAAGGATTGGGGGAAAAATAAAAAATGATAACATAAATAAACCTGCTGGTAAGATATTTTCCCTTCCTGTCTCAAGAAGGACAAAAAAGAAGAAGCAGGATGTCTGTTTTGTGACAAGGTTTGACTGCTTAGTTTTTCTTAGGATGTTCAGTTTTTATTGGTATTACTAGTGCTGCCTTTTATGGAGGTAACGTATCACTGGAAAAAAAATTCAACGAACTAATTTACAATCCAACAATGAGGTTGGATGAGGAAGAGAAAGGAGCGGAAAAAAAAACAGAGAGAGAGAATACTTGACTTTCCAAACCAACTGGTTTTTTTGGGGCAAACCAACTGCCCAACTGTAGCAAAGGATCTTTGGGTTTATGTAAATCTTTTGTGCTACCTACCGTGGCTGACCGCGGCTTCTGATCACGCGAGCTCGTAGCCTCCCACTACTCTCCCTCTTCCTTACTCTGTTCCCGCACACGGACATTCTTCTTCTTCTTCTCTAGCCGCTACCGCCATGGCCGGGGTTGTCCAGGCTTCCCCTTGGGACCATTACTCCAAGGTCGAAATGCCGGGTCTCAGGTCATGTCTTGCTGAGTTCGGCCCCTCCCAGCCTTTCAGAGGTGCTAGAATCGTCGGTCACCCCCTCATGACCTCTGAAACCATCCCCTTCGAGAAAATTCTAACTGATCTCGGAGCCGAAGTTCGCTGCTTGGCCCTTAACACCTGCTTCATCATGGATCGCATTGCGGCCACTTGGGAGCCTTGGCTGGATATCGACAAATTTCGAGCCAATCTCGAGGATCGCATGAAGGCCCGTTGGGAGACGAATTATTGGCAGGATATCAAGTGTGCGCTTGACTGGGGTCCCAGCGGTGGTCCCAATCTGATTGTTGGTGCCGGTGGCGACGCTACCTTCTTGATCAATGAGGGCGTGAAAGCTGAAGAGATTTATGCCAAGACTGGTCAGTTTCCAGACCCGTCTTCCACTGATGATCCTGACCTCCATGCTGTCCGCACTGTGATCAGGAATGGGATGGAGATTGATCCCATGTGGTACCACAAGATGAAGGACGGACTCGTTGGTGTCTCTGAAGAGACCGCAATGGGTGGTAAGAGACTTTACCAGATGCAAGCTGATGGAAGTCTGTTGTTCCCTGCCATCAATGTCAACGACTCTGTCACCAAGAGCAAGGTAATTATCCGTTACTGTTCTTTTTCTTTTGGTCAACAAGGATTGTATTAGTCAAAAGTTCAAATGCGAAAATTCCCAATCAGAAGCAACTAAAACAAGGTAACAGGAAATAAACAGGAACACTAAGAGAAAGGACAGTCCAACGAAAAGGCAGCACACTAAACTACTAGGACTGAGAGCATATGAAGAAAAGCACCAACTAGGATCAAACATGATTTCCCTGGGGACAGCAATTTCTGTAGCTTTAATGGGGGTTGCAAGACCCATCGCAGGTATGGGGAGATAACATCTCCTTGTCTTAGTCCTTTCCTAAGCGAAACTTTTGATAGTCTTTTACCAGACAACATGACAGGAAAATTTACAGAGCATACACACCGCAATTTTCTATCAATCCATTTCTTACAAAGACCCATTTTTAGCATTATAGCACATAAAAACTCCCATTCTATTCTATCATAAACTTTGTTCATATCCAGCTTTAGAGAAACCTCACCGGCCCGGCTTCTTTATTTTCATATGCTGGAAGACTTTATGGACAATATTGATACCATCCTGAATCAGCCTACCTAGCTCCAAGGCGTCTTGACTTTCATCAATGAAATTGTCCAGAGGAGGCTTAAGTCTGTTTGATAAAATATTTGAAAATATTTTGTATAGATCTATAGGCCTATAATCATTAAGCTCAAAACTTGGGTCAAATTCTTTGATAACACTTGTTAGTTTTGCTACCGCTAGTTGTTAAAATGCGTATGTGCATTTATAAACTCATCTATGACTATTTGTAATTTCTGTATCAGCTACAATGTAAATTAGGATTCGTAAATTCCATACAAGTACTTGCTAGTTTTCTATTTTTAATTGTCAAAATTAGTACTTGTAAATTTCTATTAATTTGCTGTTGTTGGTTATTAAAATGCCTATGTGCACTTGTAAATTCGCTTATGGTATTAACACAAGATCAGTGTTGTTAATTTGACTTGACCTAATAGATATAAGAAACTTGATTTAAGTTTTGTCCAATCATTAACAGGCTCGGGACAATTTACTTTTGGTATTAACAAAAGATCTGTGTTGTTAATTTCAGCCAAAGCAAAACCAGAAGCTTTTTAACTAAATCACAAAACCTGGTTGCCTATTATGTCGTATGATTACTGATAGAAAGCGCCTATGAATCCATCAGGACCAAGGGCTTTGGATCCCCAGAATTGAAATACAGCTTGCTTTAACCTCATCCTCTGTTATTTCAGCCATTAGCACTGCGTTGTCTTCTTCAGTAACCACCCTTTCCAGTTTCCTAATGAGTCGAAGAGTGAAGTATGAGTTCCTCAAAACACTTACACTTTCCTGCTTCAGTATCATCTTCTAACCACTCATTCTGTTCATTCTTCAATCGCATTATCTTATTCCTGCATCTTCTCTGGATAGTTGATAAATGGAAATCTTCTAAAACTTTGTCCCACATTTTAGCCGATTGACTCTAGATTTTTGTGCCCAGAATAATTCCTCCTGGTTCGATAGATCTATTTTCTGCCTAAGATCTGAAAAACTCTCTGGCTGTATCATCATTCCAATCCTTAGTTAAGCATATCAGCACCTTTTCAATAAGCTTGCTAAACAGTTTGTGGCTGTTCCCGAACTCCTTTCGACTCCAGCTGACAAGTATAGATCTTAAATTAACCAGCTTTGAAACAGTCATTCAGCATCTTGTCATTCTCTTCGACTTTCCAGTTATCTTTAATTTATTCCATTAGATTCGGATGAGCAAGCCAACTCATGTGAAATCTAAACAAACTTGGAGTTTTGTTCTCTTTATGATCAAATTCAATGAGGATTGGACAACTATCCGTTACAATATATGGTTTAGTTTTAGAACTGTTTCAGATTTGAAATTTTGTTAAATTTATAGCAGCTACAAAGTCGACTTTAGAGCCAATTGAGTTTGAACCTTTGTACACTTGTAACTAAAGTTCTTTTACTTAGCAACCTTGGATTTAACCTGTTGCTAGTTTTGGAAAACTCAACATTATATCTGATATGTTTTATGTTTGTGTTAACAGTTCATTAACTTGTACGGTTGCCGCTCTGCTCTTCTTGATGGGATAAAGAGAGGTACCAATATGACTATTCCTGGGAAAAAAGCTGTTGTGTTTGGATACGAAGATGCCAGCAAGGGATGTGCTATTGCACTGAAGCAGGCTGGAGCAGACGTGGTTGTGTATACGGTTGATTCCAACCATACTGTTCAAGCTGGCCTAGGAGGTTTCAAAGTTATTAAGGCCCTTGACGATGTTGTTCCTGAGGCAGACATATTTGTTACTCCTAGTATCAACAAGGGCAATATCTTGATTGCTAATTACATGAAGAAGATGAAGAACAACGCCATTATTTATAGCATGGATCCAATAGTGGACCTTAATAGCAACAGTATGTATGCTGGACTGGAGCAATACCTGTCCGGCATGAAGCGGATCATTGTCAATCCTCAAACCGACAAATGGGTCTTTCCTGACACTAATTCAAGCATCCTCATGTTGAGCAACACGGGATACCCTGATTTGATGTCGTCTTGGTCTTGTACAAGCCGTGTGGTTGCTGCGCTTGAGTTGTGGAGCAATAGGGGGACTGGCAAGTACGAGAATAAGGTTTATGATTTTCCTGAGCCTCTTGAAGAGAAGGTGTCTGCTCTTCACTTTGCCAAGCATACGACCGATAGCGTGATGACCAAGACCACTGAAAAGATCGAAGGACGGGCTGATCATGTCTCTCTGCGGATGGAAGGACCGAGGAACATCTTGGCTACAAATACTGAGCCAACGGGAAGTGATAAGGTCAAGAGGATGCTACTCATGGCTGCTCGAGCTTGTTTGTTTTTTGGCACGATCGGTTTTGGCGTCATGACGGTTCCCAAAGTTAACGTAAGTCTCCCATTTCCCAAAATTTGCATAGATCTCGCTGCAATTTGGGGTAATTAAAAGGTGAGAAAGAAGGTACTTTAAACTTCTATTATACATGCATGCTTTTTTCGGGTGATGCGCATTTTTCCAGATAAAGGGTTAGAGAGTGTTTGGTGACTTTGATATCTCATTGGATTTGGAGCAGGAGGAGAAAAGGTAAATAAAGGTCTCTATTATCGGTTGAAAATGTTCAAAATGCTCTAGACCCTTTTTCTTTTTAAATATAAATCTCAGTTGCATGAAACTATTTCTATCGGGGAAGCCTCGCTTATTCAAAGGGCTGATTATTTATAATTCTTGTTTTGTGAGTTAAGCAGCGGGATGATGATTTGTATGCATGTGAAAGTGAATCAATGAAGATCGAAGCAAAGAAATGAACTGCAAGATAAATTTTATATGGATGTAGGGAAAAAAATTTCAAAACGGGGCAAGAATTCTCTGCAATGATCACTTGTAGACCAATTGAAGTCAAAAAGAAAAGAGCACATTAGTCAGTGTGCTTAAGCTGATCCAGCTTAAACATATAATCCGGTTGAACAAACGGAAAAAGAAAAGAGGTTGAAAAGCCGAACCGTCTATAATTTCTTTGACTGAAAAATATTGATTCAGAAACTTCATTGAAAGCAATTTTTATAGTATTCGTATGGAAAAATCAGGTTTACCCAGTAATGTACAATTTTACGTAGATTTGTATGAAATTTAAATATTTTCTAAGCGATACTTCTTCATTTCTTGCCAAAGACCCCATTTTTGGTCAATGGGGGGTTGCTTTTTTTTTTTTTGGGGAGGGGGGGATAAACTGTGACTTGGTTCCACCAACCCAACCAACTTAGGACTAGGGCCTAAAAGATAGGATCAATGTGCCCAGAAAACGCAACCCCTGTATCTCAAACAAGAAGAAAGGAAAGAAAACTCAACCCAATCACATTTGTGTCACCCTTACATCGAAGTTTTTATTTTCCGTTTCTCGGCCAACACAACAAAGTATAGTTTGAACGAAGCCCTTAAGAAATATCAACCAGATTAGATTTAATAAAAGAGTCTAGTTGTTTATAATATAGCGAATCAATATTTTATAGGGAAAATCCCATATAAATACCTATTGAATTCTAAAATCCCAAATAAGTCACTCTAATTTCACAAAAGACAAATAAGCCTACAGGTATTAAATCGGAATTTGCAAATTTTGACAAATTACCTCCATGCCCTTTTTCTCATTTCCTTATCCTCTCTCTCTTCGTCGTCTTTTTTACGGCAGAGACACAGCTTGTATGGGAAATTAATGCCGTGGCTGCATCATTCTTTCACTGGGTTTTGTTAGACATTGGAGACGCAGTTGAAATATTTTAGAATAGAGAAGAGAGATCGCCATTGATTTTGGGAGCACACCATTATACAACGGATCCTCTTCTTCTTCAAATAGCGGCCATTGCGAAACTTTGTTGTTTATATTTATGAATCAAAAGAAACCATGGGAACCAAAATATAACAACTATGAGTCATCTTCTTGAGAGAGAGAGAGAAGACACGACTAGATCTTCTTTTTCCTCAGTCATGGTAGCACTAAATATAGTTACTGTCATAGAACATTCTGGTTTTTGGTAAATATCATTAGTGCAGTTGTCAAACCCATTATAAATGTTGTCAATCACATTATTTTATAATAGATTGACTTTTGTAGTCTGAATGACAAGAAAATATTATAGATATTAGTTTAATCTTAATGCTACCTTGTCATTTGAATATATTTAATGTAACTTCTGTCATAGGCTCGTTGTTTTTTCGTAAATATTGTCATTTTAGTGGTCAATTCCATTACACATGTAGTAAATTATGAAAGTTATTGATATTATGTTTATTATGATGTTTTTCTAGTGTACTTGTATACTACCTTGTCAATACATTTTGACCCTCGTTTAATTCCCCAAAAGGCTAGACTTAAAACAGGTTACAAAAATTGCTATGCATGTAGTAATTTTCATTACGCAAGTTATCATTCCCATTACATATTTAATAAAGTTGCCTGCAAATGAACTAAAATTGGATTGCAAATAATCAAGTTAAAAGTCTCATAATGCTTTTGTGCAACCTGTTTTAAGTCATTTACATATTATTTTACAAAACAAGTAACGAAAATGACAACTTGCATAATGCAAGTTATCATTTCCATCAAGCGACTTGTAACTTGATTATTTGCAATCCAATTTTAGTTCATTTGCAGACAACTTTATTAAACATGTAATGGGAATGATAACTTGCGTAATGAAAATTACTACATGCATAGCAATTTTTGTAACCTGTTTTAAGTCTAGCCTTTTGGGGAATTAAACGAGGGTCAAAATGTATTGACAAGGTAGTATACAAGTACACTAGAAAAACATCATAATAAACATAATATCAATAACTTTCATAATTTACTACATGTGTAATGGAATTGACCACTAAAATGACAATATTTTCGAAAAAACAACGAGCCTATGACAGAAGTTGCATTAAATATATTCAAATGACAAGGTAGCATTAAGATTAAACTAATATCTATAATATTTTCTTGTCATTCAGACTACAAAAGTCAATCTATTATAAAATAATGTGATTGACAACATTTATAATGGGTTTGACAACTGCACTAATGATATTTACCAAAAACCAGAATGTTCTATGACAGTAACTATATTTAGTGCTACCATGACTGAGGAAAAAGAAGATCTAGCCGTGTCTTCTCTCTCTCTCTCAAGAAGATGACTCATAGTTGTTATATTTTGGTTCCCATGGTTTCTTTTGATTCATAAATATAAACAACAAAGTTTCGCAATGGCCGCTATTTGAAGAAGAAGAGGATCCGTTGTATAATGATGTGCTCCCAAAATCAATGGCGATCTCTCTTCTCTATTCTAAAATATTTCAACTGCGTCTCCAATGTCTAACAAAACCCAGTGAAAGAATGATGCAGCCACGGCATTAATTTCCCATACAAGCTGTGTCTCTGCCGTAAAAAAGACGACGAAGAGAGAGAGGATAAGGAAATGAGAAAAAGGGCATGGAGGTAATTTGTCAAAATTTGCAAATTCCGATTTAATACCTGTAGGCTTTTTTGTCTTTTGTGAAGTTAGAGTGACTTATTTGGAATTTTAGAATTCAATAGGTATTTATATGGGATTTTCCCTATTTTATATTTGAATCCTTACTGGGAGAGGTAATCATATTAGTACCTAACAATGTCTCAAATAAAATTACTTTCAATAAAAAAATACATATGCTTAGGGAAAAAAAAGCTATTAAAGAAGAATGAAGAGATAGAACAAATGGCTAAGGAGTGCCCACAAAAATCCATACTGTTCCCTCCATTATGACATTAGTTGTCATACTTATCGTCTATTAATTAAAATTAATATAGATACTGACTAATGGATATGTAAGTTGTTACAAAATATAAAATGAAAAGTTGTTTTTTTAAATAAAATTATGAAATAAAGTTTATTTATTATCAACATAAAAATTTAAAAAAAATTACTGTGCTCATAACCATCTCTTTACGTCTGTATCTGATATGTAATCTGGACTCTTATTTTTGTTTAGATCCATTTGGAAAAATTAATCTAGGTGCATGCTAGGTGAGGGTTATGTCATCAGCTGCTAACATCATTCTCTTACAAATTAGCAAATTATAAATATATCGATCAATGTCTACAATTTAAGAAATGTAAAAACTCAATAAAAAGAAAAAAAAAACCACAAAAACTTAATTAAAAATAAGGTGAAATCTACAAATTTGCGTATTAATTTTCTCAAAGAAACCCTATATCTCCATGCAAATTTCTATACTGCATAGAGGCAAGACCCATCACTCTATTTCTATTTCATATTATCTGACTACGGCAAAATAGTTCAATGGGATATGAGTTTGTAAAATTATGACTATAATTTTTAATTCTCTCTGATCCTCTATTCTTCATTTACCTTGGATACAAATATCTTCGGATTAATGTTTTCCATATTTAATATCTTAACTTGATCCTAATTATTATGCCCTCTGGCTTCTAATTTATTTATATTAAAAAATTGTCTATTGGTAATTTTGCGCGCCATGAGAAGATATATTATTTATAATTTTGTATATCTTATATTTCTGGGAGAATTTTTTTTATAATAATGACTATAAAAATATCTAAATTCACCATAACATATATAGTTCTGCTAATGCTTGTTCAAGTATGGAATAGACTTCTGACCATGGAAAAGATGAGCTTGCTCATATTTTATTATTCTCCCATTCAGATTAAAATCGAATGGTCTAAATTTTATTTTATTTTAATCATTTTGATATTTTTATTTATGAATACGTAAAATATAAAATAAAAATGATTTTCTAATTTGTCTTGACTTTCTAAATTAAATCTAGACGTCCTAGAGATCACCCAAAGATTATGCTTATTTATCGCTATCTCATGGGTGCAAAGGCCTTCTTCTTCTGTTTGGACTAAAGTTTGAAAGCCCAAGCTTCAGTTTTCCCTCAAAAGAGAGAGGTGAAAGAAAAACGTCCAATTTCAATTTACAAAAATCACTTACAATAAAAGTCACTTTTATCAATATTAATTCAATATCAGGTGGTTTACAATTCTCCTCCAATATTTATAAATTGAATTGAGAAATTTACAGCTTGTTGTCTATTTTTTTCTCACTATTTTTTTTAGTAGACTTGTTAATAATAACTCAATTATAAGGCATCTATTAGTGATTAATTTATTTATTTAGAACTTCTTCATAATTTTCCTAAGAAACAAATGGTTTAAATCTTAGTCCCTCGAATCCTTATTATAAAAACCCAATAACATTTTTACATAGATTAAAATTATTTGATGTTTTTAAGTTTTCAAAATTATTAATAAAATTCATTAATCACAGGATGTTGCTTATTTTGTTACGGGGGTATTTAATTAGTTAAAAAATCATCAAGCTGAAGGGCATATAGGGAAGAAATTTAATACTTTATACAGTCTTATGTGAAGAACAATGAAGTCCTTATAATAAATGATAGAGAGAATATTTCATTCCATACTCAACTGCTAGCATAAATTATGCAGAAAATCGACGTCTGCTGGTTTGAATTATAGAAATTTTAATTTCGTTTAAATAGGGTATGAAAGAAGAACAAATTTTCCGCATGCCAACTTTATTGACAAGAAAGCATTTTTGGCTCACAGTGATGATGGGTTTCTTCTGTAAAAAGAACATATTTCCAATCACACAGTCTTGTAATGATCGATTCTTATCTAAACTAGCAATCATTTACAACTTAGCTTAAAGCAAAAGAAACCGCAAAGCAAGACGCATGCCATTGATATTAAAACAGTGAAACTACTTCATCCTATTTACAGAACAAAATATGCTGTTTCCATATTCCAATCATCAACTCTTTATTTTTAAAATTTAAAATCTTGTAATATCCACTTAAAAATAGGTCGGGTCGGGTTAAGAATATTTTCAATGCTATTAAAGTGGTCGCTTATTACGAGAGAGAAAATGGCTGAAAATTAAATGCGTCATAATATCTATTAATTAAAATATGAATACCTATTGATATCCTAATATTAATGTCTAAAATAACGTAGTTTAATAAAATTTCAAATTTAATCAAATATCTCATCTGTGCATCGCATTGAGAAGAAGTTTCTAGTTATGACACCGTGTACCTTGCTAGACAGTTTTTTCAAAAAACAATCTATCCTCCATGAATGAAAACTGATCGAACTGAGAAGCGTAAGCAACAAAAACCGCAAAATGGTTCAATTTCAACACAACAGATCAGAACTTCAATGGCAAAAAGATAAAAATGGTGGGGTATGCCATGGCATCTTAGTTCTTAACAAAGTTCATAACAGTTGATGCTTAAAAATTTTCAAACTTGTTTTTATCTGTTTTTCTTTTTTAATTAAACCAACCAATACTGAAAAGTTTTATTAGACTACGACTAAGATGGATTAAGCCAAATAAGAACTCGGTTAATCATTTTATAATCTTATACCAGATACTGAAAGCAAGATGCTGTCTATGCCCTTGTCTTCTGCATATGGAGCTGAGTTTATGTCAAGCTTTATTCAACACTTCATTAGAACATAGAAAGCAAACGAAGACGTTCAGAACTAGCTTTAAAATCACATTCACTCCAGGCTTCGATCATGCAGATCTAAGGAATATAACTCTGTTAAATTTGAAGACTGAAGAGATCACTAGATGATCAGAGACTATATAGTCCCCAAAAAGAACTCAAGCACTGAAAATTGGTCATGACTGAGAAAAATGAAGCTTAATGTACACACATAAACTATTCTATTTCTTTGTCTTTTATACCAATGACGCCAGGAACAAAGAAAAAGAAAAGGAAGAATCCTCTTTTTTCCCTCACAAACTCAATCTGATAAGAAAATCCTAACTTTGTTATGTAGGATTTATATATAAGATGGAAAACCAAAGGTCGGATTCCCCGTGTCAAATTGAAACCCGAAAGGTTAAGCAACCACATACAATATGCTCAATCTCATCCTTATGAAAAATACTTTAGATGAAGCAAATGAAAACGAAGAAGTCATTTTTTATCTTTCATTCTAAAAGCATAAGCTTCTGGAGAAATCTTTCTCTATTATAATAATTGTGCAGACAACTCCAGGCAACAGATCAAAGTTGCAACTCCAGGTTACATATTTTGAAAAGCAAATTGTTTATGAACTTGATTCTTACTTTACGGCAAGAATCCAGTAAACAGAGAATTCCCCCAGATATCTATTAAATGCAATATATTATACTATCTTCTATTGAACAAAATATAAACCTTCTCATACATAATCAATCATATATGTTACAATCTAAGTACATAATAGGAGTTCAAAATGCGAAAAAATCATGACCACAGGCCACGGGAAAACTAATAGCATAAGCAGGAGAAAAGGGGAATAAAATAAGCTCTTCAAATGAGACATTTGCAAGCACACCCTCAACTTTTGAACGAGAAAAATAGCTCTGAACCACAAAGTTTCAAGACTTGAGTTCTTCTGTTCATGTTCTCTGAAAATGCTGTCAACCAAGATGCCACTTCAAACTCTTTTAGCTACCAGTTGCTAAGCAGCTCAAGTTCTTTGCCTCCCAAATTAACACGAAACGTTGGATTGAAGGGTTTTTCAATGTACTTGGAAATTTTTGGTGCACAATTTTGGGGATTTAGTTGTAGGCACATGAATGAGTGCATCTCAGACAACACTAACTGAAAAGATTATTCAAAATCCTGAAGACTAATAATAGCTTATGGGAGTTCAGAACTTCCACAAAGTGCTTGAAAAATACTCAAAGCTGAAAGGGGGATTTCAAAAGAGAAATAGGGGTTCAAGGGAATGAAGAAGAAGAAACATTGATACAAAGCGTAGGCTTCTCAGTTACCCCTAGCACATGTAGTGATTACCTCACAGCCTCTGCGATAGCGATTGGCCGGTCTAGCTTGACAATTGTAATATGAAGCTCCAGGTCTGTCACAAGGAACCATATCTCTTCTGAGAGTATCATAACTAATATACTTCTTCTGCATTGCCAGAATTCTCCGATTGCTCTCAGAATCCATCATCGTCGTCTCTGTTTCTCCCAAGCTCAAGCAATCCCCAATGCTTCCTGTGCAAACCCTTGTCGTCATTATGCCAGATGCTTCACTCTGCTTCAGAAAATTGAGGTCCACAAGAGGTAGGCCATGGCAGATTGGCAGAACAAGTGCCACATAAAGGAAGGTCTTGAAGAAGAAGAAGAAGAATCTGGTTTGGGACATTGTGCTTGGAGCTTTCTGGTTTTGCAGTTTTGTTTTTTTGGGATTTTTGTTGAAATTTGTGCGGTGTGAAAGGTGGAATCTTTGGTAGCTGGAAGGGTAACCCAGAAGTCAGAAGTCTTTATTGTAAATTGTACAAGTGATATTATATTTGTACCAATGATGTTGGGCTTGATAAACAGTGGAGATTATTCACCTAATCAGATTGATTAGGATTTAGGACGCATGAGGATATATTAATTATTACAAGGCATTAAAGTGGCATTTCCGCGTAGCAGCAATGAGTTGTAAATTTGCAGTAGTAAGTTCTTATTATAGTTTCCCTTTAGTGTTTTTTTTTTATATTTTATGCAGTATCAATTATTCTGCTTATTCTAAATATAAAACTTAGTTTATAATATAATTTATACTATAAAATAGGTTTTATATTTAAGACAAGAGGAGTATTATATTTTTACAGAAAATCTTCTTAATTTATCTTTAACTCATGTGTATTATTGAGTACGGCCCACCCAAGGATTCAAGTTTTTTAAGTTGGACAATAAATATTTAATAGAAAAATTTTCAGCAATTTTTCCTAATTAGTTTCTCAAAAAAAAAAAGATGAAATTTTAACTCAATTATAATTTAGTATTAAAATATATAATTTTGATTCAAATTTTACATTAATCAATAAAAAATTTCCGATTAAAATTAAACCGTGGAATATTTTAATAAAACTAGAAATATTTCAAATATATTTATTGGAAAATTATACTATTCTAATTTAAATTTGACTACTTTAATCAAATTATAATTTTAATAGCAGCATTAAATATTTGATAAGAAATTAATAAACTGTATGGTCAAAAACATAAATTGAGAAACCATATAGAAACCGGCTGTTATTGCGGTATTGTGGGAGGAAAAAGGGATGGTTGCAATTGGCCTGACAAAACAATGCTTTGTAGTCCAAAAGTTAGGTGACTTCCTTTCAAGTTACTCTATCTTTATCTAATCATAACACTCACATCAAGGTCACAAAATGTGTGTGTTGTGTTCAAACAATAACGGTCTTCTTCATTTTTGAGAGGATATTATAAAATTTGCTTCTTTCAAATGCAATTCCTAAATTAGTGGACATTTTTAACTATATGTTAAAAAAAAATTTTCAACACATCATTTTTCAATATTCAGCCTAGTCAAGCATAAATTTCTTTTCATGTGGTTTTTTCTTTTGATGGGAATATTATACTAAACCTAGATGAACCTATATTTCTGATGTTGCTAGGCTAATGCTTATGCTAGTTTATTGTAATTTGTTCATGCTTCTAAATTTTGTGGCCCAAATTTAGTCCTTACTTAGGATTAATCTATAGTTTTATAGGTATTGTTGGAGAAAAAAATTGTTTCATACTATTTTATTGCATAATCATTGACATCTTTTTTGAATTTTGACGTCTTATGTGTGCATAGAGAAAGGAAAAAAAATACTTCTAAATCTGCAGATTTTAATTCAGGATTAAAATACAAATTTACTTAAGAAGTTTTTAGTTAGAAGCGTTAGACGCTCAAATTTTTTTTAAAATTTAACAAAATTAATTGTAACAATTTTGCCCCTGTCATTAAAAATGCTAACGGAATATTTTTCACAGTCAATGTTAAGTTTTTAACAGTAGAAAAAATTGTTATGATTTTAATTTTTAAAGTTGGGGCAACATTGAATATAATGTAGTGCATACAAAATTAATTTATACATTATCTATATTATTTTTTCATTGTTATTATTATTCAGCTCTATCTAATTAATTTTTAAGTAAAGATACCAGTATCTTTTTATTGACATTCTTTTATTCATGTCATGATTACTGCCACTCATTTTTCATATGTGGTCTAATGAATGCGAAAATATTTAAGAATTTTAAATATTATAATGATATTTAAGGATAAGACTTTTTAAAAAAAAAATGATTTAAAGCATAAATGCTTTTATAAGATGTACTAATTATAGGTTATGAATCCAATAATTTGTCTTCAAATACGTGAACTTGTCCAATAATTTTCTATACGTGACAATTAGAATCCATTTACAGTACTAAAGGGAAGATATAATGTAATATAATGAAATGTAATGATTCTTATAATAGGTTTGTTTAATATGATATTAAGAATGTTGGGATAAAACTTATTTTTATACTCAATTAAATGTAACTAAAAGTGAAAGATTAAAATGCCCTTGAAGAATATAACCCTTAATCCCATCTTCCTACTTGTTTTTCTCGTTGTTAAATAATTTTTTTTATTTTGTTATTAAGGCATAGGTGATATTTATCATACATAAAATCATTTTTTTATTTTATTTCGATTTTATCATTTTTAATTTGTGTACATACAGAATATAACCTTACTTGGGGTAACATATATGCTTGTTTGAAATAGTGGTTAATCATAATTTATGAAATACAATAAGAAGGGTTTTATGTCATTGTATATAAACAAAGCTATAAGCAATTATATTAAACAAGCCAAAACAAAAGGAAAAGCTCACCTTATGAGATTGGGCCAACTACGACATAGGGTGTGTTTGGATGAAACCAAACCGTGGTTTGGAAAAGTGATTCTGGAGAATAGATTCTGAAAAAATAGATTCTGTGAAGAATAGATTTTGTAAAAAAGTGATTCTGAGAAGTGAGAGTGTTTGGATAGTTGTTATCAGAAGCACTTTTTATATATACAAATTACTAAAAAAAAGACATAAGTTAATATAATAATTACAGAAAAAAATAGATTTTATGATATATTTTAATTTGAAGAAATAAAATTGTTAATAATATGTTTTTTACCAACATAATTAATAATACATAAGCTAATATAATTAATAAATAATTAATGTCTATATATATTTATAAAATATAAGATTAAATATATTTATAAAAAAATATGTTTATAAAAAAAATAACAAGATACATATCATATAGGCCCTCACACTCTCCCTTTTTCTCCAAAAGCAAAAAAATTTTGCTTTTTCCAAAACCATGGTTTTGACCCAAAACCATGGTTTTGGTTTTTGGAGAGGCTGTTTGGATAGCATTTTCCCCAAACCATGGTTTGGGGTGCTATCCAAACAGAGCCATAGACCTATTAGCTAAACAAGGGAATTGGCAAACGTGAAACGTTGAAGAGCAGCGTGGCATTAAAAGATTGTAATGTATGCTTGATGATGGCACAGTGAATGTCGCATTCTACCTTACTTAATTCACCCAAAAAAAAAAAAGAAACAAAATAAAAATGATGTTAAGTCATCATTTTTATTAAATACTCCTCCGGTTCTTAATATATGACATAATTATTGAGTTGATTTTGGTCTTAAATATAAGACCTATTTTTCATATTTATCAGTTTTTCCCAAATTATTCTTATGAATACTCCATCAACCATAATCAAGTAGAAGAGAGAGGGAGGATATTAATAAAGATGATTATGGTATTTGAGAAAAAACATAGCATATTTCTTATAATTAACTAACTTAAATAACTTTCTTAATCTAATCAAATTAATTAGTTAAATAGGTCTTATGTTAAGAACGAGAAGAGTACTAATTTAATATTTTAACTATTTGATTTTTGTTAAGAATATACTAACATTTCACTTTGGTTGCATTCAGCTCCACAAATTGTGTGTCTAGCTTAATGCATTTTATTAAATTCATGCTTGCTTTCGTTAACTCTCAAATCATCATAGGATTATAAATAAGTAGAAATACACCAGAGCTCTTTAGCTTAAGTGGCACCTATATTCAAATAAAACTGATTTTGTGATCAAATCTTCAAGTGGTAAGAGAGTATGGATGTGTATATATTGGTTATCCTTATTTATGAAAAAAGATTAGGAAGAATTACAATAAGGTCCAAAAAACAAAAATTAATTACAAAACAAGTTTCAAAAGTTGTTATTTATACTCTGAAACTTGTCATTACACTTTTTAGTAACTATTTTCCTCCCTTGAGATCTCATCATAATTCTCCAGAGATTATGATATATTCAACAAAAACAAGTAGAGGGAGATACAAGATAATTTAAATTGAATAAAAGCCAGTCTCAGTAAGAGATGAAAAAAAGCATATTATATATATCTGTTAGCTCACAATTAAATATCATGACCATAACCAGAAAGGCAAACTAAAGCAATTAGCAGACCAGGAAAAGAAACATTGGAACTAAGCTCTTTTAGCTTTAAGTCATTTGCAAACATATAACCTGAACTATTGAAATGAAAAAACATACCTATAAACGACCACAATTCACTGTTTAACTTTACTACATATGATTTGTAGATCATCTGCACATCAGTTTTTCTGTATGGAGTAAGAAAAAGTACAGGACAAATGAGCAGAGAGGATTCTCTCGAGCCTCCATGTACAGAAGCGTAGAAGTGAAGAGAGATAGAGAGGGAAAAAAAACTTTATTACATATCATTTATATAGTCATGTTGACATTTCTGATGCATTGATTTATGAAACCAAAACTCAAATCCTTCTTGCCACCTTCTCATTAAATGATCTCAACCTTCAAACCCTTATAATAATCCTCCATTGCTATGCAACTCAAGTTAGGTGATTTGCCTCTTAAATTAGGATGAAACGTTGGTTGAAGAGCTTTTTCTATGTAGTTATTAGAGGTTCTTGGTCCAAAATTCGGGGGATATGATCCGATTTGATTGCAGAAACATGAACAGATTGTTCAAAATCCAAAAGAGTGATCCTAATGGCTTGTGAGACTGTTTTTCTGGTTTAATCTCAGAAACTCCAAAACAGTGCCAGTTCCTATGCAACTCAAAGTTTGACCTCAAATTAACACAGAAAGCTGGATCGTGAAGGACTTTTCTATGCGGTAGTTTGCCAAATTTGGTTCTAAACACATGAAAAAGTTAATCTCGGATTGCTTAAAATCCTAAAGGGGGATTTCAAATATAAAAAAAATAGGCAAATCAAAAGAAAAAGAAGGGATTAAAAGGAATATGAAGA